CCGCCACACATACCACACCACACCATACCACCACACACCACCACCACCACATACACCACCACACCACACGACCACACACCACACAAACCACACACACCACCACACCACCACACACACCATCACACACACCACCACACACCGCCACACACACACCACACACACACCACCGCCACACACACCACACACACACACACCACACCACCACACACACACACACCACACACACCACACACACACCACCGCCACACACACCACACACACACACACCACCACCACACACCATCACACACCCACCACACACCGCCACACACACCACACACACCACAACACACCACCACACACACCACCACCACCACCACCACCACACACACCACATACACCACACACCACCTCCACAAACACCACACACACACCACCACACACCACCACCACCACCACCACCACCACCACCACCACCACATACACCACCACCACCACACACACCACCACACACACCACCACCACACACCACCACCACCCACCACATACACCACACACCACCACCACCACACCCACCACACACCACACCACACACACCACCACACACACCACCACACACCACCACCACCACATACACCACCACCACCACACACACACACCACCACATACACCACCACACACCACCACAACACAAACCACCACACCACCACAAACACCACCACACACCACCGCCACACACACCACACAAACCACACACACCACCACACACCACCACAACACACCACCACACACACCACCACATACACCACCACATACACCACCACACACCACCACCACACACACCACACCACCACCGCCACACACACCACACATACACACCACCACATACACCACCACACACCACCACACACCACACACACACCACCACATACACACCACAAACCACCACACACCACCACACCACAACAACCACACACTTATCCCATCTACTCCATCTCGTTTCACCTCGCCAACCAACGCGCACCGTACTTAGTTCACTGAGATTTTTTCCACACAAGCGTTTTTTTTGTGGAAGATTTGCTGGTTTTTCCAGGCTGTTTCTGTTGCGCGTCGTCGCTTTGAGATGTTCTCCGTTCATATTTTGCTTGTTGCGGTTGCACCCGACTTAAGAGCCGCATGGCTCACAGGGCTACACCAAATAAATTAAACTTGAAACTTGAGACAGCGCCGTGGTTAAGGCGACATGTAAATTGTACGCGACGTGATATAAGATGCGGCCCACGTGCTCCAAGCCCCGGCTCCCTGAGTCCACCCCAGAGGTCGCAATCGGGTACCCGATACCCGTACCCGTTTGCGACTCTGGTGCGGCCGGGTACGGGTAAGGAATCTAAACCCGTTCGCCACCTCTGGTCCACCCGCTGAGCGACTCGCTGCCTCCACCCGTGCCGACGGGAGGAGGAGCGCGGAGCGAGCGACAGCTGCCGACACTGCGCCCGAGTCGCGGGTCACGCACGGGGAGGTCACGCCCGGGCCCCCCCACCCTTCCCCCACCCTCTCCACACCCCCCCACTCCCCCCGGGGTGTCACGGTCCGACAATGCCCCCGCCCGCGTGCCCAAGGGGCATTCCGAGGCACAGGCGGGCAGCGGCAATCGATCCATAATAATTCTTCATCCTAGAGGCTCATGTCGCTGTAGGCTGTGCACAGAGATCGGCCGACTATCAACGTCGTCGTTGCTGGTTCATGAGCCGGGTGACTGCGTCAGGGGTAGCGGCAGTGGTGCATCGGCCGCTGTGATGAAGCCCCATTCGCGTAGATCTCTGTGCGAGGCCTGTGCGTCTCTATTCGAGTGGTTCTGGGTGTAAATTTAGAGATATCGATGCTAGTCCGCGTGGGTCTCTATGCGAGTCTGTGGGTCTCAGTGTTAGCCCGTCGGTCTCAGTGTGAGTCTATTGGTCTCTGTGTGAGTCTGTGGGTCTCAGTGTTAGCCCGTGGGTCTCAGTGCGAGTCTATGGGTCTCGGTGTGAGTCTATGGGTCTCTATGCGAGTCTGTGGGTCTCAGTGTTAGCCCGTGGGTCTCAGTGTGAGTCTATGGGTCTCAGTATGAGTCTATGGGTCTCTATGTGAGTCTATGGGTCTCTATGCGAGTCTATGGGTCTCTATGCGAGTCTGTGGGTCTCTATGTGAGTCCTTGGGTCTCTATGTGAGTACGTGAGTCTCAGTGTGAGTCTATGAGTCTCTATGTGAGGTCCATGGGTATCAGTGTGAGTCTATGGGTCTCTATGTGAGCCCATAGGTCTCTATGTGAGTTCGTGGGTCTCTATGTGAGTCTAAGGGTCTCAGTGTGAGTCTATGGGTCTCAGTGTGAGTCTATGAGTCTCAGTGTGAGTCTATGAGTCTCAGTCTATGGGTCTCAATGTGAGCCCATAGGTCTCAATGTGAGTTCGTGGGTCTCTTTGTGAGTCAATGGGTCTCAGTGTGAGTCGATGGGTCTCAGTGTGAGTTTATGGGTCTCAGTGCCAGTTTATGGTTCTGTATGTGGTCAGCACTGAATGGAAGTAAGGCCATGATCTCCGACGTCTTTGAGAAAAGACAGATCCCGTAGACATGTAACCTCAAAGACAGACACGTAACCTCAAAGAGCTCGCTTATTAAAATACAGCAATAATGCAGTGAACGACACATACATATCGAGTGGACCTAAAACTAAACTAATGTTTTCTTTTACCAGCTAAGGCCCACTTGAGCAACGTAGCTTGTTTTTCAGAAGCGACCTGGCCATGACAAATGATAGCTCAACGAAGTGGGCTTATCACGTAGAAATGCAATAGCAGCCATATACTCCAAACCCACGTTGATTCGAAAAGCGGAGGGAAAAAAACGGAGGGCCCGATTAAAAACGCACGCGGCCACAGGGAAAGAGACACCGCGAACTCCAAATATACAGGCGTCAGGATCGAACCCACGACCTCCTGTATACCAGGCGAGGTAGTTAACATCTCACCGCCGTGGTGAGATGTTATTAGAAAACGATAAAAAAGCAGAAATATTTCTTACACGACCCATCAGCCACACGCACGACTTTCTTCTGGGAGTGCATTATTCCAACAGCAGCAGCAGCAGCATTGGTGCAAGACAAGCAAACACTCTGGGTCATTTATAGCAGCATCCAAATACTCTTAAACGCACAACGCGTGCGTGCGTGCGCGCGGTGCCAGGACTATTCAGTGGCGAACACATGGTCCTGTAAACAACGAAAAGCGCCCTGAATGCGTCGTCATGGTATTTAGTGGCACGCTGGACAAGGGGCCTTCACGTGCCATTACTTAGCCCCCCGCCCCCCCTCTACACACAATAGAAGCCCTCTCCCCCATCCCTGTCTCTCTCTGTGCGCGCTTTCACTCTACTTGCTGCCTTTGTTTGTAACCATCTTGCACACCCCCCCCACCTCCTCCTATCACTCCACACCCCTATCTCTCAGTCTTTCTCTCCCTTTCTCCTCCTCCTCCCACCACCACCACCACCATCACCTCCCCCTTAACGTTCGCGCATCAATAAGAGAAAGTTTGAGGCCGTGCCTCTTGATTGTGAATTCAATCCCCCGCCCCCCGTCCCGCACAACCCACAATGGGCACCATCTGCTCCTCACACATTTATCTCGGCGATTGTCTAACAACGGCATCGGTGACACGCGCGCTCAGGAGTTTAGGGGGTTTCTTTGTTCCGGTCGGTGTAACTATGCGTGCGCGTTGCGTGTGATGGAATCAGAATATTTATACTGGAGGAATCCGATGAGCGAAATAGCCGCCGGTGGTGAGATGTTCATTACCTCGCCTGGTATGCAGGTCGTGGATTCGATCCCGACCCTGATGCCTGCTGTATAGTTGGAGTTTTACTCACTCTTTCGACCCGTGGTCGCGAGGATTTTTTTTCTCCGGGGTCTCCGGGTTTACCCTTCAAATTTGCACGTGATGATAATCCACTTCTTAGAGCTATCATTTGTGGCAAGGTCGCTTCTGAAAAAAATCTCTATAGCTCAGTGGGGCCTTACCTGTTAAAGTAGAAAGTTTAGTTTAGTTTCCCTTCCCTACTCCATTAAAATGACAAGGACACCAACTGACGGATTTATATTAATATTATTTCTAATTATTATTGAATAAAGTAAAAATAAAAAGTTACCTATCGGCTGGATCGCTGACATGTGCGGCATGTCAGGGGGTGGGTGGGTGGGGGCACAAGTCCAGACACCGTTTTCACAGTAATTCAATCTACGCTGCAGAAATAATAATAAAAATCAGCTCACATCCCGAGTTGATTTAAATCCAAGGAGTCACCGACAGATGGTGGTGCTTGGACCCCGTTTTGCTTCACCATGCCAATCAGCGCGGCATCACACAGGGCCCTGACGTGCACTCACCATCTTCTTGGTTCTTTCGGTAAAGTCACGTAGAATGGAAATAATAAAATAAAACATTATAAAATAATTCTCACGACGTTTCGGCCACAACGCAAGCAGCCGTCCTCAGGTGAAGACCAGGTCTGTCGGGGAGACAGCGTCTGAATGAAATAGCACCATGCTTGGAGCGTCTATTTAAGCTGGGTTGGAAGGGGGGAAGGGCGCCTTGACACCAGTTTTCGCGCGACAAATGCATTGTGTGTAAACGTACGCGAAAGCGCGTGCCATCGCTGTGGGTACAAACAGTAGTCAGCGGTGAAATATATCTAAATACAGTAAACCTCGTTATTTCGGTATATGATCATCCGTAATTGGGGATAAGCAGGCACGGCTGCGCTTTTGGCGAATTTGTAATTCGCGACGAGCCGAATTCTCGTGCCGAATGGTCCAATGTCGGCATGCACGTGGAGCAGCGACGCCGCACGCCACGACCGATGTAACGAGTCGGTCCAGTGGCGGCGGACGTGGTGAGCGGTAGTGCAGAGCCGTCGTCGCTTTGTGCACTCTGTGCAAGCCAACCCTCGCAGAAATGTCGTCTACAAACCTATATCCAGAAGTAATAGAGACAATTCTAGATTTGAAGCTTTCGTGACTGCAAGGATTCATATTCTTGGGTTATTTCGGTAAAGTCACGTAGGTAAAAAAAAAATAAAATAAAAATCACATTTTGGTGACAACACAAAAATTAAAACGTCGTGATTTTTTTATTATTTTACTTTTATTAATTTTAATTTTTTACCTACGTGACTTTACCGAAAAAACCCAAGAATATAAGAGACAAATCCAAAGTGTTGGATAGAATTGATGCAGGGTGTGTGTCAATGCATATGGTGTGCGAAGCGTTGGGAAAACAAATTTAGAATTGTTTTTAATTGGGGCAGGAGGCATTGGCGAGTACCATTGTACGTAATTCGGGATATTGGATCATTCGGCAAGGCCAGAGCCCCAAATGTATCGAATTAACAAGGGTTTCATCTTCTTGGTTCTTTCGGTAAAGTCAAGTAAAGTCACGTAGAAGGGAAGAATTTACCGAAAGAACCAAGAAGATGAATCCCTGCAGTCACGAAAGCTTTAAATCGAAATTTAACAAGGGTTTACTGTATTGCTTTAATGCGCAGCCTTTTTTGACGTTATCCAAAAATCTCAACCGTGACTTACACGTGTCCGCAACAAGTTGACATATTTTATTTTAAATCTCAATGTCAGAAGGGTGAGTGACAGGGATCTTCCACGTTCGCGTTACGCAGTGAGACGACAGAAGGGTCATTCGCATCTTTGTGAGAAAGCACAGAGATGTGCCCCCCACATGCCAACATCCATCACACACTCGCAAGTACATCTCTCAATCTCCAGCATTTAAAGTGTATACCGGTTACCGCAATTACATCCATATTCACGTCACCACAGTCGTTAAAACTGCCCATTTCTTCGCGTGGTTAACCTATCGACGACAAAATAGCGGGGGAGAAACGGGCTCGGAAAGTTACAGCATTGCAAATTCAGCAGCTCTGCAAACACAAAGAAAACCCAACAACTAATACGACACACAGGTTAAAGATGGTAAGCCTAAAACCTCACCGTAAAAAAACGGGACATTCCGTTATTATCAAATGCTGTTAAGCGGATGCAGAGCTACCGATCACGCTCGCGCACACACGCATACACACATACACGCACACACGCACACCGCCTTATTTGCCCACATTTACATAATGGCGCGTTGCTAAACAAACCACCGACAGCCCAGTCAATGGACAAGTTTACTCGAGATATCAAGGTTGGAGAGTAACAGCGATGTTAAGACGCACTGGGATGGCTCTTGGAGGAGTCTCCACCGCCATAGAAATTCGGGCAACGGTCGAGGTCTGTGCAGGGGAGCAGCAAACGCGGCACACACACACCAGCACACGCACACACGCCACACGCAGCCACACACAGCCAAGGAGCGCCCCCCTTTCCACCCCCCCCATCCCCACAGGGGCACGCAAAACGACGGTGCAGCACAGACAAAGCAAACGATCGCTAGATGATCAGAACAAGTGGCTAAATTCCGAAAAAACGTAATCGATCACGTGACGTTCCATCCGCACAAGCAGAGTTTTTGTGCAAAGGCAACCGCTGCGGTCACGGCACAGCTATTCAATCTCGGGATACGCAAATTAATTCGAGGATGGTCAGTCCCCCGATGCATTAAGGCAACGTGCGGATCCTCTCCGACCGTCGCCGCGAGGTCCTCGGGCTGATCGACGGCCGCTCCCGCGTGGACGCTTCAAGGCCATCCGCTCGCCACTCCGTGAGCAGGATTTGCAGGAGGGAGAAGCTGAAAGCCGGAGGGGGTGATCGGGGCCAAGCATCGGGCTAAAACGCAGAGTTGATCGACGGTGCACGGCCAATCGGGATCCAACACGGGTGGGAAAATCGGCGGACGAAAGTTTAGCCGACCCAACCTCAGGACACCTGGACTAGCTCGGCGCTGCCGAAAAGCTGGCGCGCTTGGGCATCGGGTCGTGCGCGGAAAGCGGCGAGGTGGAGCTGGGAGCAGAGGACGAGGCAGAGGAGGACGAGGAGGAGGAGGCGGCGGCGAGGAGAGCGCGCCGAGCCCTCAAACTCCATCTGGCAGCTGCGCCGGCAAGCCGCTGCTTCTCAAGGAGTGTCTCCTCGTGCCAGCTTCGGCGCGATCCGCGGCCGTCCAACGCCTGCAAGTGGGGGGAGAGGACACAGGACACGCGGTGTTGAGGTACAGATGTCACGGTTTGACCATGGCTATGGTTAAGCGTTCGTGTTAGGGTTACGGTTTAAGTTCAAGTAACTACGAATTTAATTTAAGGCCCTTTGCAGAGGTCGCAAACGGGTTTTGATTCCTTACCCGTACCCGGCCGCACCAGGGTCCCAATCGGGTACCCTACCCGTACCCTACCCGATACCCGGCTACCCGTACCCGGCCGCACCAGGGTCCCAATCGGGTACCCTTACCCGTACCCGTACCCGATACCCGGCTACCCGTACCCGGCCGGGAATCGGGTAGGTACGGGTACCCGATTGCGACCTCTGGGATGAAGCCATGTTGCAGGCGCGGGTGGGTTGATTCTAGAAACTTGAATTGTGAGAAGAGACAAGACGTTGGGAAATGAGTGACAACGGTTACTTACCAGTGACTCACGGCCTACCCGTACCCGGCCGCACCAGGGTCGCAAACGGGTACCCGTACCCGCCTGGGTACGGGTAGCCGGGTATTGGGTAGGGTACGGGTATCGGGTACCCGATTGCGACCTCTGGCCTTTTGTCAAGCCACTGTCCCGATGCTGTGTGTGAAAATCAAGGTTTTTAACCAAGCTTCATCACGCTCGTCAGTGCAGGTTTTGAACTTGGGACCCAGGCCCAATTTAGGTATCTTTTCCCATGGCCGAGAATCGAACTCGGGTTGCTGGGTGCTTAGACCAGTGCACTAACCACTGGGCAAACACTCCCCCGTCATTTGGGTGTGACCTGCTAATATCGTTTAACCCACAGAAGAGGCCTCACAAAATCTCCCAGTGAGGTTTTCCCGACCCCTTACCGAGGAAACCTGAGCGGAGAGAACCCACGCATACAAGGGGATGACACTCAAGAGTCAACACAGTTCAGCAGCCGACTAGCTGCATTTCTCCTGACAGGAATCTCTCTCTTTCCTAACGGTAGGTGTGCGACACAAACGAATCTCTGTTCCATCCACCAACACCAGCCTCCCAAAACAATGAACTAAGAGTGATCCTGGCCACCGTGCCCAGCACAATGATTGGAGTGCACAGGCGGTCGACAACACGTGCCAGTGTGGTTAAAACCAGATCAGGTTCACGGTGAAAGTCAGTCACAAGCAGAAGAGAGGAGTCTGTACGTGAACTATCGGTGGTGCGCAAGTTATATTATGCAGGAGGTCGTCGGTTCGATCCCGACCCTGACGCCTGTATATTTGGAGTTTGCATGTTCTCCCTGTGGTCGCGTGGATTTTTCTCCAGGTCCTCCAGTTTGTACCTCCACATTTATAATCAGCATCACGCGTTTAGCGTATTTGGCTGCTATAAATTTCCACATGATAGTAAGCCGCGTCGTTGAGCTATCATTTGTGGCCAGGTTGCGTCTGACAAATAGGTATTATATAGCTCAGTGGGCCTTATCTAGTAAAATAAAAATAATTAGAATATTGAAGGCTATGGTTGTGGTCAGAGTGAGGAATCGGAATGCGGTCAACACTGTTCTTTACAAAGGCTACGCGCTAACACACAAGCGCACCTTGTCCCTCCGGCGGAGCTCCACTTTGGGATCCCACGGCCCAGTCAGCGAGGGCACGGACGGCGCGTGGGCCCACAGGCCGAGCTGGCGGTAGTAGTAGCGGTGTTGCAGCAAATGCTGGTGGAGGCACGGCTGTCCGTGCGCGCCGGACGTGATGCCCAGCAACAGCCCCGTGGCGAGGTAGTCCTCCACGCTGCAGCTCCTCTGGATCGGAGCGCTCGGCAAACGTGGCTCCGCGGAGTCTCGCGTTCGCTCATTCGCTTCCACCCGCTTGCCCGCGTGTGCGCCCGCTTGCCTCTTCACCCACGCGCCCGTCGGCGTCTCCGTGCCCATCGGTGGCTGCGTGCTCACGCGCGTGTCCGCGCTGGGCTCGGCGCTCTCTGTCCTCTCGAGTGGCGAATCCGGGTTCTCCATGACTGGCGAGAAATGCTTCGTCGTTGGCTGCTTTCGCTTCTGCGGCTGCGCAAACGTCGAGGGGGTCACGGGCAAGTGGATGTCGAGGCAGAGGGCCGCCGCCGCCGCCGCTGCTGCTGGCTCCCCCTCCCCGCCCCACTCGCGTCGTGAGCACAGAGCGGCGCCGTCGCCTGCAGCGTCCGCGTCGCCCCCCCGCCCGTCGCCGTCGAGGCGCCCGCTGTGCCGGGCCGCTGACCGAGCTGCCCTGACCAAGTCGACGTCGACGCTGCTGACCGCGGTTCTTGGTTCGACTTCTGCTGATGCTGCTGCTGCTGTTGGCAAGGCAACGGGCTTTGCCCGCTGTGCGGCAGCTGCGTCTGGAGCGACGTTTGCTGCCGCAGCTGCCCGTGGAGTTTCTGTTGCTGCTGCTGCTGGTGCAGTTGTAGGTAATGCTGAAATTGTGTTCTGTGCAATGTGTGTGAGGAATGTTGCTGTTGCTCCTGCTGTTGATGGACTTGCTGCTGCTGGTGCTGTTGCTGCTGCTGGTGCTGCTGCTGCTGCTGCTGTTGCTGCTGCTGGACGTGGAGGTTTGTGCCCAGCTCACGCTCGTACTCCAGCAGCTTGCCCCAGGAAGTTGAAGTTGGGTGAAATCGATGGGCGCTTCTCCTTTACAAACCTACACACATACACACAGAGCACCGAGCGTCAGCTCCTGTCGACGTGTGACGCGCCGAGAATCTTCCTCCCTGCGCTAAACTGAACTTAACAGGACAGCGAGTTTGCTGCTGGAAGGCGCTCGAGATATACACTGAATGGAGAGGGCGGATGTTTACACGGACATTTATTCGTCTAAATCGGCTCGAGCCTTGCCGTACAATCACGTGCCTTGTGTGTAGCCACTTCTAATCTGAATCCCTCCCCTCTCCCCTGTGAAGACACGCTGCTCCGGACAGCGTCGAGGCCCTTGCCCAGCCTCGTCTTCCTATCCCCATCTCTCCTGACCCACCACTCCTGTTTTTGTCCGTTCCTCATCCGTAATTTTTCCTCTTATTTCCCTGTCACTCTCTCGCATGAATTCATGTACTTGTACAAATTTGTACTGATACACTTTTTTAATTTGTATTTAGTAACTTGTTTATCTTTTCTCTACTTTGCAACTCCTACCGTGTTTGTTGGTATAACCTCTGACCCCGTGCCCCTAATGGACATCCGTGAGAAATAACTTCATGGCTTGTCGATTCTTCCAGTCTAAACGAAGATTCTGATTCGATATTCCCTTTCCTGTTCCTCGTTCTTTTTCCATGCAAAGGTACACAGTTGCTTGTTTATAACCATACATAAATGTCTGTGCCCGCTGAAATGTGTTGCTAGTGCCGTTAACCACCGCCTGAGCCTGCCAACCACGTACCACGCTCTTCCCCCCCATAAACATGCTCAACAGCCCCCATCTCATTTACCCCAAGACAAAATGCCGCGATACATTTCACGGAGCGAACAAACCAAAATCGACGCCTGCATAAAAGTACGCTTTGGGCAGAGTTGAACGGCCGTCTCTTACAAAAACTCACCAGCCAGGGAAGTCACAATACCCACCTAATTTCCCTCCATGTCTTCAACCCACGCGACGCTCGTCATCAATGAGTACGAGCGTGGGCGAGTGAGCCAGCCATCAGGTGAGTAATAAACGGATTGGTGAGCGAGTGGAGGGGGTACGTGGGGAGGCGGTGAGGGCGGGAGGGGGGCGGAGCGAGCGGGTGAGTCGGCAGGACCTGTAGGCGTCGTCCGATGAGAGGCGCTTGCCAGCGCATGACGTACGCGATCGCAACGGTGGCCGAGCGCGATATCCCGGCGAGCAGTGGACCAGCACGCGGCTCCCGCGCTCACAGCACGCCCTCTAAGAGCGCAAAGCGGGTCGTGTGGTGGGGGGAGGGAGGGGCAGCCAGGCACAGCACACGCAGACACACACGAATATATATTTTAAGCGATTTGTTTACGTTTCATATACTTTGCGCTCCCAGCGTGTTTTCGTATTGTTTGTTGCTGTAACGCTCTGAGCCCGTGCCCCTACTGGAAGTTCTGCGGATAAAAAAGAGCTTCTCGCTCGTTGGATTCCTCCAGTACTAATAAATATTTGCCGATTCGGATTCTGACATCGACTAGGATTGAGGCTGTGCGTGCGCGGTGTCACCGCTGAAAAGCACCGGGCAGTCGGGACCTCCAGAACTCATGTGAGCCATCGCACTTTGCATCGGCCATGACATTTAAAGTAATTTAAACTATTTTTTATCTTACCAGGTTTTCAGTTTCATTTCAGTTTCATTTATTTGGTATAGCCCTGTGAGCCATTCGGCTCTCTTGAATCGGGTGCAACCGCAACAAACAAAAACAAAAACATGAAACAGGAAACATCTTAAAGTGACTATGCGCAAAAAGAAAAATCCAGGAAAAAACTGCAAAGTCCTTCCAGAAAAAAAGCACCGTACACCAACGCTGTGTGCAAAAATCCCAGTGGGATGCAAGTCAAACAACAACAACAACAACCACACTCCGTACTACAACAACAAACATGGCCAAACCAATTTTTTTTCGAAATCACCAAAATAAAGCCATAAAAGCAATGTAACAGTGATCATAGGAACTGTGACCAAAATTTCACAATAACGACATAAACAACATGTACCAGGTAAGGCCCACGGAGCTATATAGCTCTTTTCAGAAGCGACCTGGCCAGAATGATAGCCCAACCGTGTGGCTTATCACATAGAAATGTATAGCAGCGACATTAATTCTAAATGTGAGGGTGAAAACTGAGGACCCGGAGAGAAAACCACGCGAGGAGAGAGAGAGACATGCAAACTCCATATATACAGCAGGCGTCAGGGCCGGGATCGAAACCACAACCTCCTGTATACCAGGCAAGGTAGTTAACATCTCCTAGCCACCGTGATGATGACAAGAGTGAGAGAGAGAGACGCAAACTCCAAATATACAGCAGGCGTCAGGGCCGTGGATCGAAACCACAACCTCCTGTATAACAGGCGAGGGAGTTAACATCTCGCCACTGTGCCGCATGAGATATGCCATCCAGCCGAGCCGCACTAAGGGTCATGATTTTTTTTATTAGTGGGGGGGGGCGAGATGTGGGTCACGTGCTCACCGATGAAGTTTGCCGTGCAATCGAGCCAGGGCAGGATCTTCTCGCAGTAGCTGTCGTGCACCGGCACGCGCAGGAAGTTCCCCTCGGGGATGAAGTCCGGTCGCGGGCAGCCGACGCTCGCGTTCAGCACGTGTGTAATGCCGCTCTGCAGCATCACCTCCTGCGGTGAGCATGCGGGGGGGGGGGGGGTGCACACAAAGACAAGGATTCATACTCTTAGGTTTTTTCGGTAAAGTCACGTAGGTAAAAAAATAATAATAAAATAAAATTGGTTTTGGAAGCCAACATCGGCCGTAATCCCTGTGGAGGTTCTTCACTTGACCCCTCTTCTAGCCCCGCCCACCTCCCCTTCTAGACCCGCCCACTTCCCTTCTAGCCCCGACCACCTCCCCTTCTAGCCCCGCCCACCTCCCTTCTAGCCCCGCCCACTTCCTCTTCTAGCCCCGCCCACCTTCCCTTCTAGCCCCGCCCACTTCCCTTCTAGCCCCGACCACCTTCCCTTCTAGCCCCGCCCACCTTCCTTCTAGCCCCGACCACCTCCCTTCTAGCCCCGCCCACCTTCCCTTCTAGCCCCGCCCACTTCCCTTCTAGCCACCGCCCACTTCCCTTCTAGCCCCGACCACCTTCCCTTCTAGCCCCGACCACCTCCCCTTCTAGCCCCGACCACCTTCCCTTCTAGCCCCGCCCACCTTCCCTTCTAGCCCCGCCCACTTCCTCTTCTAGCCCCGCCCACCTTCCCTTCTAGTCCCGCCCACCTTCCCCTCTAGCCCCGCCCACCTTCCCTTCTAGCCCCGCCCACCTTCCCTTCTAGCCCCGCCCACTTCCCTTCTAGCCCCCGCCCACCTCCCCTTCTAGCCCCGCCCACTTCCCTTCTAGCCCCGCCCCCCTCCCCTTCTAGCCCCGCCCCCTCCCCCTTCTAGCCCCGCCCCACTCCCCTTCTAGCCCCGCCCACTTCCCTTCTAGCCCGCCCACTTCACCTTCTAGCCCCGCCCACTTCCCTTCTAGCCCCGCCCACTTCCCCTTCTAGCCCCGCCCACCTTCCTTCTAGCCCCGCCCACCTCCCCTTCTAGCCCCGCCCACCTCCCCTTCTAGCCCCGCCCACCTCCCCTTCTAGCCCCGCCCACTTCCCTTCTAGCCCCGCCCCCTCCCCTTCTAGCCCCGCCCCCTCCCCTTCTAGCCCCGCCCACCTCCCCTTCTAGCCCCGCCCACCTTCCCTTCTAGCCCCGCCCACCTCCCCTTCTAGCCCCGCCCACCTCCCCTTCTAGCCCCGCCCACTTCCCTTCTAGCCCCGCCCCCTACCCTTCTAGCCCCGCCCACCTCCCTTCTAGCCCCGCCCACCTCCTTCTAGCCCGCCCACTTCCCTTCTAGCCCCGCCCACTTCCCTTCTAGCCCCGCCCCCTCCCCTTCTAGCCCCGCCCCCTCCCCTTCTAGCCCCCGCCCCCTCCCCTTCTAGCCCCGCCCCTCCCCTTCTAGCCCCGCCCACTTCACTTCTCTAGCCCCGCCCACTTCCCTTCTAGCCCCGCCCACTTCCCCCTTCTAGTCCCGCCCACCTTCCCTTCTAGCCCCGCCCACTTCCCCTTCTAGCCCCGCCCACCTCTCCCTTCTAGCCCGCCCCCCTCCCCCTCTAGCCCCGCCCACCTTCCCTTCTAGCCCCGCCCATCTTCCCCTCTAGCCCCGCCCACCTCCCTCTAGCCCCGCCCACCTTCCCTTCTTAGCCCCGCCCACCTTCCCTTCTAGCCCCGCCACTTCCCCTTCTAGCACCGCCCACCTCCCCCTTCTAGCCCCGCCCACTTCCCCCTTCTGAGCCCCGCCCACCTCCCCCTTTTAGGCCCGCCCACTTCCCCCTTCTAGCCCCGCCCACTTCCCCCTTCTAGCCCGCCCACTTCCCCCTTCTAGCCCGCCCACCTCCCCTTCTAGCCCCGCCCACCTCCCTTCTAGCCCGCCCACCTCCCCTTCTAGCCCCGCCCACCTCCCCTTCTAGCCCCGCCCACCTCCCCTTCTAGCCCCGCCCACCTTCCCTTCTAGCCCGCCCACTTCCCCTAGTCTAGCCCGCCCACCTCCCCCTTCTAGCCCCGCCCACTTCCCCCTTCTAGCCCCGCCCACCTTCCCTTCTAGCCCCGCCCAACTTCCCCCTTCTAGCCCGCCACTTCCCCCTTCTAGCCCCGCCCACTTCCCCCTTCTAGCCCCGCCCACCTTCCCTTCTAGCCCCGCTCACCTCCCCCTTCTAGCCCCGCCCCTCCCCCTTCTAGCCCCGCCCACCTCCCCTTTCTAGCCCCGCCCACCTTCCCTTCTAGCCCCGCCCACTTCCCCCTTCTAGCCCCGCCCACCTCCCCCTTCTAGCCCCGCCCACCTTCCCTTCTAGCCCCGCCCACCTTCCCTTCTAGCCCCGCCCACCTTCCCTTCTAGCCCCGCCCACCTTCCCTTCTAGCCCCGCCCACACCCCCCCTTCTAGCCCCGCCCACCTTCCCTTCTAGCCCCACCCTCCCAGTCCCTGACTGACACATGTAGATAAGCTCCTCCCCCCCTCCCGTTAACCAGTATATAAGATCTTGTCTCTTGGATTTCTCTTCACTTAATACAGTAAATTTAGCTGTGACGGTCCCACCTGAAGACGAAGACTTGTGTTGCCTCCGAAACGTCGTGGTTCAATTTAGTTCTTTCATAAATTTTTATTTTATTATTTATTATGTTACCTACGGACTTTACCGAAAAAAACCTAAGAGTATAAAGACAAAGATCCCCTCCTGTATAGCCTTTATAAGACCGTTGGGGCCAAGTGCTGCTGTTTGCGAGCACTTGTTAAGACCGGCACGCCACACGAAGGCATGTGGATGGCCAGCACCACGCACAGCTGACATTGTCTCCACTATGCTGACGTTGGTACACCGCACAAGGTGCTCGTTTAAGGCTGAGTCGATCTGGGGGAGGCCCAACATCGGTTCAGATATTCGTCAATGGTGTCGGCCGTGGGCGGGAATTGAACTCGGGTGGCCGGGTTCGTAGTGACCACTTTCCTTTGTGTGAATACCAAGGCACGCACAAATACATACGCCTCTGTGTACACTCTCAGGTTTGGAGAAATAAGACGCAGCGTAACTCTTATTGTCAACAATTGGGCCACGGTGGTGTGATGTTAACTACACTCTTAGGTTTTTTCGGTAAAGTCACGTAGGTAAAAAATAAAATTTAAAGTTAATAAAAGTAATAATGGAAATAAAATAATAAAAATGTGATTTATTATTTTATTTTATTTCCATTATTACTTTTATTAACTTTTTATTTTATTTTTTACCTACGTGAACTTTACCGAAAAAAACCTAAGAGTATGAATCCTTGCAGTCACGAAAGCTTCGAATCTATAATGATGTTAACTACTTCCGCCCAGGATGCGGGAGGTCGGGGGTTCGATCCCGACCCCCCGACTCTCTATATTCGGAGCTTGCATGTTCTCCCTGTGGTCCGAGGATTTCTTCTCCAGGTCCTCCGGTTTTTTCCTCTGCCTTTAAAAACATGCATTGAGATGATTGAGATTATTTTGGCGCTATAAATGTCCAAATGATGGCCTACTTTGTTGAGCTATCATTGTGGCCAGGTCGCTTCTGAAAATAAGTTGATACCTCAGTGGGGCATTGCCTGGTAGGATGGGGATGGTTTCGTTTGAGTTGCGTTTGGGTGATATGTTTGCTTATCTCGTACTTTGCACTACTACCGTGTTTTTGCACTCTTCGTTGTTGTAACGTTCTTACAAGGTGCCCCTACTGAACATCTGTGAATAAGTAAACCCGTAAAACAAAGTTTTCACTCTAAATCCTTTATATGCGTGGCGGCTAGAGTCCTCTCGTCCTCTGGCTTGAGATGGCTGCCACCTATGGGTCAGATGATTGTCTGCCAGTATTAAGCAATTGGTAATTAAATATTTAATTTGTTTTCCCTAAACAGTGTAAAATTTTGGGAAAAAAATTTCACGAACATTAATTGTCTCGCACAACGAGTCTGTGTGCAAAATGTCAGCTCGATTGGATCACGGGAAGTGGGCTAAAAAACGACCGAAAGATTTGCACAGTCCTAAGCAAGCAAGCAAGCACGAAAGCAGGCAAGCAAGCAAGCAAGCGAACTTAATATAAAGGATTTAAAAATAGCTTCATAGCTCATCGGATTCCTGCACTATAAATAAATATTCTGATTATGTATGGCGAGGATACAGGAAAGTGGATGAGTTTACTAACATGCGGGCATTCCCGACCAACACTTCGATTCGTATTTAATTTAATGTGTCCATGTCGCGTAAGTAATATGTGTGCCGTAAAGCCTACTCCACCCAACACAGCCAATGACCAAATATGTCAGGATATCGCCAACACCAAGGCAGCATTCCTAATCAAGGTGCTCCAGAGGTCTGTCTCGTTTACATTCATGAGTGAGGGTTTTCAGCCACTTGCCTTGTTGAGGACGTCACGCTGAGAGCCGAGGTAGAGGTAGGGCAAGATGCAGGTCGGACCAGTGTCGCGAAGGTGCAACGAAGGGCTGGACACGGGCTGCGCAAGAGGTGGCGTGCGAGTGTCCACGCGGCTAGCGTTCTCACACAGCTGCGGGAACAGCAGCTGAAATGCAGGCAAATCCACCTGCACACATGCAGCGCACACACAAAGACAAAGATCCCCCCCCCGTATAGCCTTAACGACTGTTGGGGCAAGTGCTGCTAGCAAGCAGTAACCTATGAAGGCCAGAACGGTACACGAGGCGGGTGGGGTGGCGAACACCACGCCCGGCCGCCTTTGTCTCCCTTGTGGCGATGTTTCAACACTGCACTGGGTACTCATTTGAGGCTGAGTCGACCTAGGGGAGGCCCAGGACCGGTTCAGATATTTGTTACTGGTGTTGGCCGTGAGCAGGAATCGAACTTGAGTCGCCGGGTTCGTAGCGCAGCGCGCTAACCGCTACACCACCACTCCCCATACACACAGATACACACACAAAATTCTGCTTTCAACAACGCAAAAATTCGGCGATTTCTTGCTCCAAAATAATTTGAGGTAGTGCTAATCCCCACCCTTATTGCAGCCTTGAGTCCATTATAGATAATCTTAATTCCTATGGTGGAGGCAGGCAATCCACAGGATAACCACTGTTGACTTGCCCACGTGGACATGACTGCCACCTTGTGGGCGATTCCAGGCCTCCCATTCATGGCGCTTGTCTGCCAAGCAAACGAACCCACAGCGAGATAATTACCCACAGCCACCCGCAAAGTTAGCGGAAATTACCCGCAAATCACCAAACTGTGAGAACACAAAGCAATCATCGGCCCCTGGGGCGAAGCGACTGCAGACTGAGCCTGTGAAGCACAGCCAGGACCGGACTGGCCAGAGGGCAGCAGTCCATAGGGACAATGCCCGGTGGGCCGGTCCATTCAGGGGCCGGTTGGCCGGTCTAATGTGCACGCTTCGTTGCTTATTTACGCTCTCAGTGAGCGTTCAGTCCCCATATTCGGCAGCCACACAGATTCTTCCTTACCGGCCCCCATTTGTGTTTTTTGGACCCGGCTCCAAATGGCCCAACGAAATCGCACGACAACGTCACGCCAGCACGTCGCCACGTTGCAAATCGAGTTACTCCACAGACTGCCTTGCTCTTTTAGGATGAGGGGATTCTCACCATTGAGGAGGTAGACGTCGGAGAACGTCCGACGGAGCTTCCCCAGCAGCACGGACACGAAGCCGTGGGGCGGCAGCGATGCAGCGGACGGCGAGCGCTGGTCGTACACCACCACCACGACGCGCCCACCGGCCTCCACCTGCGTGACCACAAACACCGCTCGGCCAACGCTGCACACTCCGCACACTCTGCACACTCTACACATCCACCAAGATGCGGCTCTTTGGCTGACCCCTTACAGCTCTTTTGCTGCCCCCTTGCGGGAAGCCATTTAAAAAGCGTTTCAACTTCATTCAGTTTTTAAATCCTTTATATTAAGTTCGCTTGCTTGCTTGCTTAGGACCGTGCAAATCTTTCGGTCGTTTTTTTAACCCACTTCCCGTGATCCAATCGAGCTGACATTTTGCACACAGACTCGTTGTGCGTGACAATGCATTTTCGTGAAAAAAATTCCAAAATTTTACACTGTTTAGGGAAAAGAAAATTAAATATTTAATTACCAATTGTTTAATGCTGCCAGACAATCATCTGACCCATAGGTGGCAGCCATCTCAAGCCAGAGGACGAGAGGACTCTAGCCGCCCCGATGCCACGCATATAAAGGATTTATAGTGAAAAACTTTGTTTTTACGGGTTTACTTGTTTACACTTTCAAGCAGGGCACGGCAACCTCTCGGCTCCAGAGCCGCATGCGGCTCATTAAGGACCGCTTCGTGACGTTATTTATTAAGCAGCACACCGTCTCGTAATCACCACTTGCATTGCGGCTCTTGAAATATTGAGGTTTTGTTTGACCAAATTCTAAAAAAGTAGTCTCCTTGTTACTTTGGTTGCCGACCCCCTACACTCAGAGGAGACAGAGCGACCGTGCATCCGTAGGCGCGAAGAGTTCTTCAACACAAGGGGAGCACGAAAGCTCCGTCAGCGCACCTGAGACCCGCTCGTTGCCGCGTGCTGCACGAGCTCCAACACGGACACCTTGTCCTGCTGCAGCCGCCGCTGCACCAGCTTGGAGCAGCACACGTTGAGCGCCGACGCCACGTGGCAGCTGTTGAACTCGGCGAAAGTTCGCCCGTCGATCACGAGCAGGGTTGGCACGCTATTTGCGCGATTGGCAACACGTTCGGCATGACCATCGGCAACGTCAGCGGGACTATTAACGCCGTCAGCTGCAGGATCGTCGCCGCCGCCGCCGCCGCCACCGGCATCGCCGAAAACACCAAAAAAATCAACCCCCGCTATTGTTGACGTCGGCAATGTCGTCGTTGCCGGCGCCGCCAACGTCGCCGCATTCGCAAGCGCCGCCGCCCCCGCCGCCACAACCGCGGCCGCTTGAGTCCACCACCTTGCCACCAAGAACCGCCCTCTCCAGCATGGACGCGAGCATCTCCACGCTCATCCCCCGCACGCCCTCCCCCGACATCGCTGTCGCTCCTCTCTCTCTCTCGTCGCAGCGAACGTTTCCCTTGATGTCACCACTTCGATTGCAGTTAACGATTGCACATTAGGCTGCTGCTGCTGCTGCTGTTAATGGGGTCAATGCCGTCGACGGTAACTGATGTTTTTGGGGCTGAAAGTACTGCTGCCGTTTGCGATGCCGGTCCGACTTGTTGATGCTGACGATGATGATGATGAATGCTGCTGCAATTGCTGATATCGCTGCCGTTACAGTTCTGCTGTTGCATTGGCGGCGGATGGTGCTGTTGCTGCCACTACTGTTGCATTCACCGCTGCTGAGGCTGCAGCGACACTGCCGAAGATGCAATTGTCAATGTTGACGATGCTGCTGCTGCTGTTGTCAGTGATGTTGTTGGTATTGCTGCTAATTGCTGTTACTGTTAACGCTGCAACCAATGTTGCTGCTGCTCGTGTTCTGTTGTGGGTTGCTATTGATTATTATATTTAAATGGAATATGTCCATTGAAGAGGCTGATACATCGTAAATGCAATTTAACTAATTTGATGACATCTTGAGTTAAGATTCCATCAAATGAAGGAAATTGAAAAAGCTGCATCTGGAAAAATGTTTTTTTACACCAAGATATTTCAAATAAAATTCATATTTAATCAAAAGTATGTGCTGTTTAAAACAATTACATGTTGTATATGCATTGTATACAAATGCCATTTAATTATTGCAATTATAAAATGTTAGACATCTTTATTAATGGTTTTTATTTAAAAAACTAAGTTATCCCTTATGTCTTCAACATTTTCGAATAGCGATTGTAGTTTTTGTTATTTAAAACATGTGCAATAGGCTGAACAGAAGAAAAAAAAAACTCAGATGAGTCGCAAAAGGAATCTACAAACACTTTGATAAGGTGATAGATTTTTTTTTTGAAAAACCACAATTCACGCGAATGTCAAAGAGCGGGACTTTCAAGATGTTATATTTGAGGGGGAGAGAAGCGAAGATATCAAATCAACTAATAAAATGTTAATTTAGATTAATTATACACTTTTTCTTTTGAAGGTCGGTATTATTGACTGTGTTGAATGTTTAGTTAATTGTGCTTGTTCAGCGCTGCCAATGTAATAGCAGCGGCGGCAGCAACGCCAAATAATTTGTTAAATTTTCGGTTGCAAAATATTTGACGTTTGGGGAAAAACGTGAGATTGACAAGGTAACTTTCCTTCTTTTTTGGGTCGCAAACATCGTGTTGCTCAAGGTGGTGCACTGTGGAGACGCAACGGGAGACCGCTCCCGACGTCACTCCCACGAGCCGCTGTCCCTGGGGGTGGCCCCGTCTCCCCCCGTCACCGTGTCACCGTGTCACCGTGCCACCGGGCCCACCGCGTGCAACTCCGCTACGATCGCTGCTCCTCGTCCGCACATTCTGCAATGCGAGAACCGGTGGCAGATCGCTTCTGTCGGTCAAACATTCGCGCCGACCCGCAAACATTTTTTGTAAAGGATCCCAGCCTATCCTGATTTAAACGCAAGCACCATGCATTCATATTCTTAGGTTTTTTTCGGTAAAGTCACGTAGGTAAAAAAATATTATAATAAATGAAAATAACTAAATTAAATCACGACGTTTCGGAAGCAACACAAGCCTCCGTCATCAGGTGTAACTGCTCCAGTAAAATTACTGTAGCGTGGTACAATTTTTACTGAAGCAGTTACACCTGATGATTATTATTATTTTTACCTACGTGACTTTACCAAAAAACCTAAGGGTATGAATCCTTGCAGTCACGAAAGCCTCAAATCTAGAACCATGCATTCATTCCATCCATTCGGCGGTGGCCGTTCTACTCGTACCAGAGGGATGATGCGCACAGCGGTGATAACAAGCCCGAGTCAACTCTGTTGCCGGATTTGAACCCCATTGCAAGACCAGAAGCCAGAGGTCGCAATTGGGTACCCGATACCCGTACCCTACCCGATACCCGGCTACCCGTACCCGGCCGGGTACGGGTACGGGTAAGCCGTGAGTAACTGGTGAGTCACCGTTTGTCACTCATTTCCCAACGTCTTGTCTCTTCTCACAATTCTAGTTCCTAGAATCAACCCACCCGCGCCTGCAACATGGCTTCATCCCAGAGGTCGCAATCGGTACCCGTAACCGTACCCTACACGATACCCGGCCGGGTACGGGTAGCCGGGTAGGGTACGGGTACCCGTTTGCGACCCTGGTGCGGCCGGGTACGGGTACGGGTAAGGAATCAAAACCCGTTTGCGACCTCTGCCAGAAGCCCCTACACTTGTTTTGGCAATGGAGCTGCATCACTTCTCAGCACTGGCGGCAGGCCCCAAGCCAGTGGTGAAAAGTCAACATTTTCCGAGGGCCATTCTCTCTACACGTTGAAGAATGACCACCGCTGACTTCCCACACAAAGTGGTGCTCACTCCAATGACCCCAGAGGAATGATACCAAGCCAAGTCAACCTTCAGAGTATCATGCCAAACCTAAGGTGATTAGTTGAACACAGACCACAGCACATCATATATTTATTTAAAGACTCCTATAGTAAAGCTTCACAGAGGTAAAGTGATGCAATTGCTTGCTCCTGCCACTAACAGCGGAAAAGCCTTCGCTGGAGAAAGCTCTAGAGCCCCTCTAGACTGTAGTTGGCCTACTCTTCCATATCAGCCACACGTGTTGGCAGAGGTGGGAGTAACCGACACCAATCGACCAACTGTGCTGTAACCGTTTTTTTACTGCTGGGTGTGGAGATGTTGGGGTATAATTTGTGTCTTATTTCAGGATGGGAATAACTATTACTATTTTCAATTTTTTATTTGACCAGGTAAGGTCCACCGAGCTTTTAGCTCTTTTTCAGAAGCGACCTGGCCATAAATGATAGCTCGAGAAAGTGGTTTATTATGTGGAAATTTATAGCAGCCAATTACTAATCTCAATGCATGTTTTTAAATGCGGAGGGAAAGCCCAGAGGACCCAGAGAAAAATCCTCGCAAACACAGCTAAACCTACACCCACAGTGGAACAGGAAGTGGACAAATCGCATGGAAATGCCGAGAGACATCGTCTGCAAATGACTCTAATTGGGATAGCTCAACGCAGTGGCATATCACGTGGGAATTTATAGCAGCCAAATACTCAAAGCGCACGTTTGTAAATGTGGAGGAAAACCCGGAGAAAAATCCACGCGACCAGGGGTAGAGAGAGAGACACGCAAACTACAAATATACAGCAGCAGCAGCAGGCGTCAGGGTCGGGATAGAACCCACTACCCCCTGTATACCAGGCGAGGTAGTTAATATCTCGCCACCGAGAACTGGAGGAACACCATGGATGTGAATCAAGGCAGGGACATGCTCCCAATTTTTTGATTAATTCACGAAATCCGAAAGTTAGGCCCAGACACGAAATTTAGGATGATACCAAAAAAAAGTTTAATTGATCCAAAAACCATCAGTTAATTTAATAACGGCGTCACTTTCGCGAATTTCCTGCCACAAGTGGTGTCAAGTGGCCTTGGGCGACGTCACTATTGTTGGCAAGAAGATATTTTTCATTACAATCTAACGGAAATAATGCGAACAAGACCCGAAATTGTATTTGAAAATTCAAAACATTGAAAACCGAAACTCAGTCGTGCACGTGCTGTGCTAACAAGACAGTGGCAAGCTTGCAGCATTGAACTCACGTGTTCACCCCATCTGCGTCTGATCGGGTTCACGAATTCTGATCCCTGCCCTCTTCCTTAATTGCTCATCCCGGATGGGTTTTTAAATCCTTTATATTAAGTTCGCTTGCTTGATTGCTTGCGTGCTTGCTTACGACCGTGCAAATCTTTCGGTCGTTTTTAACCCACTTCCCGTGATCCAATCGAGCTGACATTTTCCACACAAACTCGTTTTGCGTGACAATTAATTTTAGTGAAAAAAAATTCCAAAATGTTACACTGTTCAGGGAATTTTTTAAAATATTTAATTACCAATTGCTTAATGCTGGCAGACAATCATCTGACCCATAGGTGGCAGCCATCTCAAGCCAGAGGACGAGAGGACTCTAGCCGCCCGTTTCAAAGACCAATGTGGGCTGGGTTGTGGCCCATTGAACACGCATATAAAGGATTTATAGTGAAAAACTTTGTTTTTACGGGTTAATTTTTTTACGTTCCCTCTTCGCGTCAGGATAACCTTGCCGCCACGCGACCCCGATTTGACGGCTTGCGAGACGTAAGAATCGGCTTAGCCAACTTTTTTTACAGCCACCAAGAGCCCCCAACCACGTTGTGTGTAGATGGCGAGATGTTGACTACCTCGCCTGGTACACAGGAGGTCACGGGGTTCGCTCCCGACCCTGACTGCTGCTGCTTGTGTATTTGGAGTTTGAATTTTTCTCCGTGGTCGCTTGGATTTTTCTCCCGGGTCCTCAGGTTTCTCCTTCCACATTTAGAATCAACATCACAACGCGTTTAAGATTATTTGGCTGCCGCTAAACATTTTTTGCTGTTTTTTCCTGGATTTTTCTGTTTTCGCAGCCACTTTAAAATTCTAGATTTGAAGCTGTCGTGACTGCAAGGATTCATACTCTTAGGTTTTTTTGGTAAAGTCACGTAGGTAAAAATAAAAAAATATATAATAGAAATAATAATAGAAATAAAATAACAAATCAGTGATTTTTTTTATTTCTATTATTATTTCTATTATCTTTTTATTTATCTTTAAGATTTATTTTTAAGATGTTTCTTTTTCATATTTTAGTTTTTTTGTTTGTTTGCGGTTGCACCC